GTGTGTGTGTGTGTGTGTGTGTGTGTGTGTGTGTGTGTGTGTTTTGCTGGGCATGTGGGAGCCAGAGGATAACTTATAGGAATTGATTCTATCTTTCACCATGTAGGTTCCAGGAATCAAACTCACCGGGCTTGGCAGTAAGTGCCTTTACCCACTGAGACAGCTTGCTGGCCATCCACTCGCCTTCCCCAGTCCACTGTGGGATCTTAGTCCTTACCACAGCAGCACTCCTGAGGTCCGGTGCCCTAGACTTATCCATAGCTTGGACTACTCAACAGTTTCTGGTTTGATTCTATACCAAGAACTCAGTCAAGAACCTAGTCTCTAGCCTCAGCCTTGTCGCTACACTCAACACTTGGGGGAGAGTTGCAGGGGAGTGCAACCGTCCTTTGTCCTTAGTTTTTAGGATGGACACAGAGATGGAAGTGGCTCATTGACAGGCATGGCTATAAATCTCCTGCATTCTACCCAGTGCAAAAAACTTAGGTATGTCATTTCCTATCCAGAGAGGGACATGTCACTCAGAAGCAATTCATAGCTCATTTTCCTCAGCAGAACTCTACTGTCATACGCTTTCATGGAACCGCTGCAGAATGAGAACTAACGTCAAACTCCATTCAAAGCTTCCAGATGTCTGTTGGGAAAGGCGACAAGGGGCAGGCACACCACTGGATACAATCCCAGTTCTATATCTATTATTTTTAGAACTGATACTTTCTTACCACCTTGACACGGTAGACATGTGCATTTTTCACTATTCATCAAGAGATTCAGGCACCCTAGTGCAGAAGGACCAAGATGGCTCCTTCGTGACCTCTTTCAAAATTAAAGTCATTTTATGAACTTATTTGGTTACAAAGTAACACATGCTTTTAAAATGACAGTAACAAAAGGGGCAGAGATGAACAGGAGGAGGGCGCAGGGCACCACATTTACCTCCTTGACCTTCTTCTAATTCTCTCACTTCCATTCTACTGTGGTCTGAACATTTGTGCCCTTTCTAAGATCCACAGGCGAAAACCTAATTCCCAGCAACACTAAGAGATGCTGCATCTCGAGGTACTTAAGTCCTAAGGTGGATGGCATTGGCGCCTTTACAGACAGGTTCAAGTTGAAGGGATATCACCTCTTGTGCCTTTACCGTCAGCTCCTACCCTCTAGGACTGTGAGAAGAATACACATCTGGTCTTTGTAAATTACCCAGCTTCAGGGACAGTGTTACAGCAGCAAAAAAAAAAAAAAAAAGTCCTATGGTGAGACCCTTGTTTTTTAGATCCTTTGAGCGCATGAACCAGAGCCTCAGAGACCTACAGATCTGTAGTTTATGGGTGTCTCCTGGGCTCTGTGAAGAGACTGTGTGGCCAAGTAGTTAAGAACAAAAGACTAAAGTTGGGTGTCCTTTAATCCCAGCACTTGGGAAGCAAAGGCAGGTGGATCTCTTTGATTCCAGGCCAGCCTAGTCAACATAGTGAGCTTTAGAATGGACCTCTCTCCAGCACCAGAGCCAGGTACAGCCCGTGAAAGAGCAATAGTGACTGGGACTCACATGGCAGCCCATGAGGGCTAACTCACCAATATTCTTCTCAATCTTCAAGACAAAGTGCTTCTCCGGATTGCTGCAGCTAAAGGTAAAAGACTTTCTTTCTCCAGGTTTGATAATCAACTCAGTCATATACTGTTTAGACATGATGATGGAGCAGGGCTTCACGGGAAGGGTTGGGCTCACCCGCTTCACGTGCACTGTAACGCCACTTCCGTGGGGCAGAACAATCTCAGACGCTTCTGAAAGAAAGACAAGAATGTTATGAGCAAGTGATAAGAGCAGGAAACATCCTTTGGTCCTCTGGCTTGGAAAAGCGGACAGCATGAAGGTAAGGATACCACCTCTTGTTTGGGCTGTTAACTTTAATAAGAAAAATAAAAGCTACTTCTCCCACACTGCTGATCTCCTGGGCAGTGTGGCTTCAGACCCTCTATTCGTGCAGCATTAGTGACAAGAAGAGGTATTATCCTCTCTCTTTTCTTTGTGACAGGGGGTGGGGATCAGACATAACACCCATGACACCACACAGATGCCACATGCCTACAGAGACACTTATTTGCAAAGAGCTGCCGCTGCTGCCGCTGCCGCCGCCTCTTATCATAGATGCTTTACAAGCATACATTTGTACCACAGGGGACAGGAGGACATTTGCTAAAATTAGAGGTGGAGCACACTGGCCCACGCTAGCAGTACAGGCTTATCATCTCAACTCCTTAGGAGGCTGAGGCAGGAGGATCGGTGTAACCAGCTACTTTATGCTGTTGTGGTCGTGCCTGCCACCATGGGCTATAGCTCCCTTTTCAACTGTAATCTCAGACAAACTTCTGCTTCCTCAAGATACTTCATGTCAGGTATTTGGTCACAGATGAGAAAAGGAACCAATAGAGTCCTGTTCATACACAGCTGCTCTCTCTGGCCAACCTTCTACAGTGATCTTCCTGTCCCACACAGCTGTCCTGTGTTCTCTGTGCCTCTGGATCTAGTCTCTAGCTGGAGGGCACCCTGCCATCTGCCCAAGTTGCCTCTTCTTGCAACCAGCAGGCAAGCTCCTGCAGGAGGACAGAAAACTGACCATTTTGCTCAGCCTCAAGACCCAGATGATGCCAGGTGCCCACAGGACACAGAAAACTTCAAGCCCACAAACAATTCTATATGAAGGTATAGTCCCCATGGCCATATTTTCCCTGCATTTAAGCTAATAAGTCTTCTCTAGGGGTAACCAGGGGTGCATATGCGTGCGTGCACACACACACACAGACACACAGACACACAGACACACACACACACAGAGAGACAGAGACAGAGACAGAGAGACAGAGAGAGAAATGGGTTTCCTCAAATGCTTTGTCCTGAAATAGTGTGACCTTTGAACCTTCCAAGACAGACACAAAGTCCGAGGAACGTTTTAAGACATCAGATGGAGCGGAGATCCATGTTAAGAATTGTGGTGGTCAGTTTTGTGTCTGAGCCGTGTATACAACCCTTGTGCTGTTTCTATGTTGTAAAAACGTCTTTCATAGTGACTGTAAAAAGCCTGCAGTACAACCTCTCTCTAGGCTTGCCCTACCCTTCACAATAGCCTCTAACCCAGGATAGCTAAGCCAAGCTAATTCAGCATCAAGGGCAAGCAGATATGAAAATATCAAATTCCTTCTTTAATACTTCTGTTTTTTCACCTTTTAGCCAAACCATAATTGAAAATCACTATCACTGCTAATTAGTATCATTTTAATTGTTAGATACAAGGACCTACAGTTGTGGAGCTGGAGTAGAGAAGGAGGGTACCAGGAAGCTCTGACGGATGCAGAAGCAGCTGCTGCCGGTCTTGACTCTAGTAACTATGGCCTGTATTGTACGTATACCAATACCTATCACTCTGTACTCCCGATGTGACGGCATTTTATGTTACACCTTAATGCATTTTTAAAAAGCATTTATGAAAAGTCATAAATATATCTAAAATACACTTCAATGTTTTGTGGAGGCTATCTTCTCGTAAGATGGATGTAAACATTTCAGATCTCTTTAGATTCAGAGAAAACCAAAACTGAGGTCACCAAGATCTTGCTCTCAGGTAGCTCCTGTTTGCAACCAAGCCAGGCTTAAAGTAATATTGGCAAATTGTCTTTTAGAATTTTTGAAATCAGATATTTATCCAACAGACTTTTTTTGGTTTGTAAAATATTCCAAGGACATCATTTGGTGCAAATAATTTACTGATAAACCAGTCATAATGGCACATGTCTGTAATCCAAGTACTTGGGAGGCAGAGGCTAGAACTCTGTGAGTTCAAGGCCAGCCTGGTCTGCATAGCAAGTTCAGACCAACCAAGGCTTTACAGTGGGACCTTGTCTTAAAGAATTTTTTAAATTAATTAATTAATTAACAGGAATATGCAGAGCCCATGTCCCAAGGGAGCTAATAGTTTAATTTGTCAATTTAAAAAAACAACAACACCCCCAGCCTTGGGGAGCCGGACATTTAGATGTGTTCATCTGTATCGGAAGATGAGTGTCTTGCCTGTTTGTATGTCTGCACACCATTTGTATGCCAGCACCATGTGCATTCCAGGAGAAGCCACAAGATGGCCTCACATCCACTCTGGACCTCAAGTTAGAGAAAGGTGAGAGTTGCCATGGTGGTGCTGGGAATTGAACCTGGGTCCTCAAGAATAACCAGTGGATGCTCTTAACTACTGAACCTCTGCCCTGCCCCTGGAAGTTTGTTTGTTGGTTTTTATTTTTTAGCACTTTGGGATTCATATTTATTTATTTATTTATTTCTCCATACGAAGAGCCAACCACTCCCATCTAACTGGTAAGCATAGCAGTCCTTCCTTCACAAAGCATAGCTGCCATTGTTGTGGACATACATACCCAGATTTTCACATGAATTCATTATGACCCGATTCCAACAGACCACCACCCAACTGAGCTCAACTCTGGTGCATTCTCCTGCTCAGCCACTGTGTCTTTGTTACAATTTGAATATGAAACGTTCCCAAAGACCTCTGTGGCTCAGCCCCTTATGGATACTATTTTGGAAGGTGTTGGAAACCTTAGGTGGTAGAACGTACCTGGAGGAAGTGGGAGTGTCCCGTCCCTTCCTATCCATCATCAAATGAAGAAGCCCCTCAGCCTATCCTTCTGCTGCTGTGATGTTTCGTCCAAATACACCAGCCAAGCAACCGTGAACTGAGCCCTCTGGGCTTGTGAGTTGATAACTATTTCTTCCTTTAATCTGTTTCCCCTGGTGTTCCAGACACAGCAGAGGGAAAGATAACCAAAACAGTATCTTTCACAGACCCAGACCGTTAGATCCTGGTGGTCCTTCTCAGCTTCCAAAGGAAATACTGAGCTACAGACTTGTGCTCAGCACGACCGGTTCTCAGCCACATTTACAGTAGAAGGAGGGAGTCTCATTGACAGGCTGCCTGTTAGGAGCCGCGTTCGCCATTGCAACATGGCGCCGGTTTCCTGCTTCCTGGTTCTTCTTGAGAGCCTTGCTTGAATGTGCGCCTGCGCAAGGCGTGAAAACCAGTATGCTAATTGGCGATGTCGTGAGAGCCAATGAGTGTGTGGCACGTCTCCTAGGGCTCTATATAAGCCACAGGTTTTTGGGGCTTGGGGTCCCCTCGCTTCACTGCTATCTAAGAGCTGTACAATAAATTGCTGTCAGAAGAATCCTGAGTGTGGCGTTCTCCTTATCGGTGAGGCTGTGCGCTGCAGCTGCCTTCCAGAGGCACAATCAGGGACTCACATGGCTACCATGTGGATCTGCTCCCTTCACTCTGAATGACATGTAAGGCGACAGGAGGTCAGGATTCCACGGGTGGGGGGGTGGGGGGCTCCTATCCTGCTCCAACGCTCTGGAGGCCATGACTTCACCACAGTGAAGGATCATGGTCTGGAGGCCATTATTTCCACCATAGTGAGGCATCATGGGAACAGTATTGCTTGTATAACAACCAGAAGCTCATTCACTCACAGATACTTGGGATCTGAGAGCATTTTGTTCACACAGTTTTTCTTCATACCCACTCAACCATTTATCATTTGGAAACTGGAAAAACCAACTCTTGGAAGTAAAACCTCAGCCTTCCCGCCCACTCCTCTGTTGGGCCTGGCACACTAGAGCCCTTGATGAAGGTGCCAAAGTTTGGAGGAGAGGAAAGAGACTTTTCCTCTGCGTTTCTTTTATCTCTGTGGGAACTTTATATTTCATTGGTGGAAAGTCCAAAAGGTTTGGGATGCCAGTCCACAGAGATACAGAAAACACTCCCAATACTGGTGTGGTTTTGAAGTCTTCTGGGCTGAAAGAAAGCCAAACCAACCTTCTTGGGAACAGTGATGGATGCCCAGGTGTGGGGCCCCAGGGAAAGCTTCCGAGGCCCCGGCTCAGCTTCTGAGTCACAGCTCTCTTCAGCTCTCCGCTGCTGTCCTTCTCCTTATTAGGGAATCTTCACTCATCCCACCTCAGCTCTGACTCTCGGGTGGGAATTTCCAACGTTTCTAACTCGTTCTTCGAATTAATCCTTCCATTATTCACATGTCACAGGACACTTCACAGTCGTCCCTGTTGTTCCTTCTCCCCGCTGTCCCGTTTTTGCAGTTCTCCACAACAGGGATTTAAAATGTCAAGGAGCCATTTTCCTCTCATATTCATTGGACAGTTTCTAACACTGACACACACACACAATTTAAACACTTTTAGCTGTGTCAGAACTAGTTCCCCTCACACTTGGTGTGGTTTCCTCTGGGGCTTGGCTCACATTTGCTGTCCCAATCTAACCAAGATGCACTAGGCAGGGTCCAGCCAAGGAAAAGGCTAAGCCAGGGAGACAGTACCTCAAGCATGATGCCCTGGAGGGATACCCAGAATGTCAAGGAAAGACACGGGGTGTTAAGTGTTAATCAGCCCGGCTGATCAGTCCTAGCTTGTGTGGGAGTCAGAGTCCAAATCCAGTTCATGGGAGGCTGATGCTGAGTGGTGCCCTCTTAAAAGATACCACATTGTGACCATCCACTTTACTCGGTGGGTTCACCACCTAGTGTTTCCTGCTTCTATGCCTCTGTCCAAGTTTCTTGGTTGAATATGAGATAAATGAGTGATTTGCTTCTAGAACTGGGTTGGCAAAAACCACACTTCGTTAACTGACAGCTCCCTCAGAGAATGGGGTGCTATACTAGGAGGGCTCAGGGGAGCACCAATAGAATCCACCACAAAGGAACACTCACAT